TGTTCATCAATTTATATGAAATGTTCAGATATTTGAGGTACCCATAGCTTTTAAAGTGTTAAAATATAACAGTCCAGAAAACTTCCTTTTTAAATATATTTTTAAAGCTTCCACAAAAAGAGAAAAAGAACAGAATTATATGCTGCTGTCTCTCAGGATTATCTTATATTGTCATAGATTTTTGTGTCCAGAAGGAACTATTATGAGTATTTAGTGTGATTTCTTTGTCTTGAAAAACTATCATACCCAATAATATTTCATATTAAACCCCTAATTTCTGTTTGAACTGTAGTTTATAGTCTTTTAGGATTTCAAATGTTGGGCTAGCAAAGAACAGTGCCTGCTAACATAAAGCAGTGACACTTGAATAGGTAGGGAGCACTTTTAGGAAGTGTGCGAAACAGAGGAGTAGTCAGGGGAAGAGGAGTGGTGTAAAGTAACGGGAAGGAAAGAGAAACATGTATCTGTACATCGAAGGTTATGCTCCTTTCCAAGGAGAGTTCAGTGAAGGATGGGATGTGTTCAAGACATGAGAACAGCAGTAGAGATAGGGAGAGAACTAATTCTTACAGACAAAGTGGGAGCAGAGGAATAGGAGGGAATGGAACAGGTGAACGTTTTCAGATGCTTACTTCTGTGATGGCTGATGTCTGTAGTTGTTTCAGCAGCCAGTGCTTTTAGTATAAATCTTCCTATCACTTCAAGACAGAACCGTAGAACATTTTACATCTGATCACTATGCAAACATATTATAATCCTCATCAGATACCCTCTGTGCATCTTGTTTCTCTCTCTTCTGTTATAGCTTTGTTTTAAGTGGTTATAGCTTCATTTTTACAAGTGTCTCTGATGGAACCTGAACTGTGGAAAACCGTGTAATATTTAAAGCAAATATTGGCATTTAATAGTGTATTGTGTACCATAGACTATTTTTATGAGCATTTACAGGATGCACGGGGCAGAGCTGATCATGTCTGTCCTCAGGCCCCTGAAACATAGATTGCAGTGAGTATCTACAGATTTAAAAATCTGGAGAATAATATGACATAAAAGCTAGAAGTATTCAGAAAGAAAAACAACAACTAATGTTGCTCTGATATACAAGCTATAGAAATTCTAATGTTCAAGTGGATATTTTAAAAATTAATCTTATTCCAGAATCCTTTATCCAGTGAAATTATTATTAAATTTAGGGGAGGAAGAATGGTTCTTTATAGCATGAAAATTTTGCTTTACAGAATATTTTGCATTTGCCCATTTTGAAGAGCCAAACACATTTCAAGTGTAGAGTTTTGTCTGGTTGAATTATGTAGGTGAGCCTTCATGTTTTATGCACGCTAATTAAATTCAGGAAGATGTCAAGGTACACAGTGTCCTTCTTTTAGGAGGTGTCAGATGTGAAGAATTTAGCTTATAGCTTGTTTTACTAGAAGAACTAAACATAACTGGAAATTTTTCCATCTAAAGGATCTGAAGTACAGGTCTAAGCAGTCAGGGATAGGTAGTCCAAGGGATAGGTAATCCACGGAGATATACCAAAAGCTTCAGTATTAAGATGATGAAACCCCAGGTGTGTTTTATCAAGAAAGCCAGAGCAACACCTGCCATGGTGTTGGAAGAATGGAGAGATGGAATTGAAATATTGCTGTTGCATCTTAACTCACCTTTGGATGAACAAGTTTCCCCTGCACATACTTGGAGTAAGCAGAAAGCAGGTGCTGGAACCATCTTCCATCTGGAATAATCACTCAAAATAAGTCATAGGATCAATTTTGTCTTTCCGTGTGCCCTAGATAGTGGGTTCATCTAGCACATCCAGTGACGCTTCTGCCACCGATGGGTTGTACCTATGTTATTAAGAGTATTGCGAGGTTGTGTTCTTGCCATGAAAAACTGTGTTGCAGCTGTGTTTTCTGGTTTCCCTGTGAACCTTCAACACTTCTACTCCCAGTTTTCTCCAGCACACCTCCTTGTGCGAAAGCTGAATTATAAAGCATGCCCACTTCAGCCATTATAACCTTGTCATGCATTTTTGTGACTAGGTTATCTAGTCTAATTATTTTTTAGACCATAACACAAGTACTTTCTTGTTCTAAAGGACAAACTCTTACTTTTAGTGTCAATGTTAAAAATAAGGAAAATAATTAGACAAAAGTCACTAACTCTTACTTCTTTTTCAGAAGCCTCTTCCTTTTCTTCAGCTAGGGTTCTCCTTTTCTGCAGCTGAAAAAAGCTTGTCTTCTTTATTGTTGGCAGCTTTGCACACTTGGATGTTTGACCTGTAACGTATTCTGAAAACAGATGCTCTGAATGTGTGTGACTGTGGAAAGCTAAATCTCCCATAGCTGTTACTGCCATGCTTTTAGATTAAATTAAACAGTTCGACTTAATTATTAATCACTTCAATTATTTCCATAATTCCAACTCCAAGGCAGCTTTGTATTTTTAGCTGGCTTAGTAATATCACATGGCCATGACTTTCAAGGCATTGTCCAAGGGAGAGAAACAACTTGCTTGGAAAAAGCTTATTAAGCTGGAAGGCAGAATTGTTTTCAGTGGGAAGCTCTCCTGGTTGTTTTGCAGCCACTGCTTGGCTGCCTGTTTGGAAGCAGCCTCCGTGCCTTGAACTAGAGTGTTTAGGAAAGGGCAGGATGTCTTTAGTGTATGGAATTTGATGAACGGTAGAGGTGTAAAAGGCCCAACGAGCCATGTCTTTGCTTGTTCTTAATGTAAGCCAATCCCCAAAATGCCTCATCTTGAGAACATAGAAAACATCTCATTGAAACCTGTGACTTAAATCGTTCCCAGAGCTGGGCATCCTGCCCAGCTCCCTGCATGCTAAATACTCTTACAAAAGGGATAAAGACCATGAATCCAGAGAGGACTGGGAGATTACTGGTCTGACACACACCCTATTCTCTACCTGGATATGAAGCCAGTGATGACTCAACCCTATGCACTAATGTAAAGGTTAGTGGAAACCCCAACCTTGTACCGCTTTGTGTTGTTAATGAAATGTTAGAAGACAGTGGAAAGCAACTCAAAAGACTGCACAAGAAAGAGAAAAATTAATCCCATGTCAGTGAACACTTTAACCTGATTCATCCCTCAGTCCCACTGTGTGCAGAGGGAGCCCTAATGGTGCATCAGTCATTGGCCTGCAACTTGGTGTACAGTTGGGTTTTTTTCTTTCACTTCTAAATCTGTCCCAATTCCCACGTTTCTGAGGTTTTAGCTGGAAAGCTTACAGCATGTTACAGCAATACTGAGAATTATACTTTGGCTAGTGGGAAAAGATAGCTTAAAACAAATTTTCTTTTTCGGGTAGCTCCTTAAACCTATAATTTCACAGACATCATTATTAGTATCTTACAGGCCAGATTTATCATTTAGATCAACCAGTGAGCAGCACTTGATCTACAAAGATGTTTTAGAGATGGGTTGTTACAGGTTAACAGGCTGAGTTCAGAAATTGATGTAGTCCCGTAAGAACTGGTAGAGGTTACACTGAAGCAAACAGATTCAGTGTAAGTCTGTCACGAAGCTGTAAGAGCACTGGGTATGTACACTAACTGTGCTGATAAAATTTCTACAGTATGAGCTTGTTTGTCCTAACATTCATCTTATGCCTTCTGATCGCAAATTCGGCTATGCACAAAATTATTTCCAGGTGATCTTGTTCAGAGAACTGATTGCAGGGCAAGTACCCCTGCAAAATGCCCTGGGGTCAGGCTGCCCTCCTTGTAAGGCCCTGCAGAATGGTGGGGCAGCTGAGACCAATCTTGATTTAATCATCCCAGGAAGGCAGAGAGGTCTGCTCTTTCATGGAGCAGATGGAAAGACAAAACTGCAAATCAAATGTGAAAGTGAGTGCTGATTCTCACTATAAATATTTTCTGTTCTGAATTTATGGTAAAAAAGCAGCAGTAGAGTAAGAAAATCATGCAGTTCTAGACAGATACAGATTACAGGCTTTTTAATACAGGTATTTCTTTGATGTCCAGTGAGCATCTGTTTGTTACAAAGTGCTTGGTTACATATTCACATGCCCCTGTTCATCTCCAGACCTCCTGCCCTGCGGGAGGCTAATATATTTAGAACTGTCTTTAAAATACTCCTGAAAGAATCTGCACTTACAAAACTCTTTTGTGAGTAGCGGAGCCTTTTATGAGAGAGAGATAATGAACTGCTGTGTCTTAAATGCCAGATTTTTAAAGGTGTTTGAGTGCTTATGGCAATGGAAATTGAATATCTAGATGTTTATGGAAATCCCTCAAGATGCTTAACTGTATCTGTAGTTGCTTTAATAATTTGGTTCCAAGTGGTTTGCCTAAGGTGCAGTTAGTCACTGTTAGAGAGTTGAAAAGGGAAACTTTCTACTACTGCTGTAGCCATTAATCATTTTTGCCTTCTTTATGACAAACTGATGGGAAAATATTACTGTTTATAGAATTTGATGGAACAGGGAAGAAATAATGAGTTATGAAAGAAAACCAGATTTAAGCTTTTTCTGAGTAGTCGATTTCTCCTGTAAGCACATGCTTATAACTGTAATGGATGAAGATAACCTCCCATGGTTTATAAAGTCTCTATAATCACCAAAAAGTTAATCAAAATCATTTGCTAAATCCTTTCTACAGTGTAGTTGAGCATTTGTGAAGTATTTCGTGGCAGGTCTTTGAGAGAATTTGATCTGCTCAATGCATTTTGATAGTAAAAATCACATGCTATTATTGCTCTTTTCTGGTTGATCATAGTTCTTGTTGCAAACCTAATATATGGCTTGAGTATTTAATGTTTCCAAGCTTGCATTCATTTTTCTTGATATCATTTCATTTACTTACAAACACAGGGTGAGTATGAATCCCAGGTGAAATTATTTTATACAATCCCCACAAGTAGCTTTTGTCAGTGTAATCTTTTAAACCTGTTTTTCGTCATTACTGCACATTCTCAGTTTAATGTTTTTTTTGTCAAATGCTTTTGTTTCCATTAACTAGGATGCTGAGAAATTGGCCGGTGAAGAGCATTTCTGGAAAGAAGTCAAAGATGCTGTAAATGAAGTGAGATATCCAAAATCGAAAGAAGGTATCCTTTCAGTGACAGGCTGCAGTCTGTCATCCAGTTGTGAAAACAATCCAGACAGACCCTTAATACGCAGTTATTCTTTTGAGATTTATTTCATAAAGGTTTACATTTTTGTATAGTTTTATAATGTATTTTAATTTGATGTTTGAACTGTGTAATATTCCTAATTGTATTAGTAATAATAGAGTCTCTGATTACTTGGACAGGAACTGCTTCGTGGCAGGGAGAGTAGGTACCTAGGATGTGAAATGGCATTTTGACTCAGGTTTAGACTCCTGCCATCACAGCCCACCACTTCATATAAACCCACTTCTAAAAGAAATAAAGTTTAAACTGAAATGTTAAATTCTTTGTCCCATTGCTCCCATTGTGAACATTTCCAGGTTCTCATTCTTTGCACAACAATGGCAATAACAAGGACATAATCACAGTCAGGTTCACTGCAAACATCATAGAATCATTATAATAAGTTATAATACAAGTAATATATAATAATAACTGATAATTAAGCAAATTGAATGAGATGATCTCACACTAATAAACAGAACTGGAGCCTAATGGCCATCATGTAGATATTCAATCCAATTAAAAAAACTAGTGAACAGCAACAGCCACAAAAAGATGAGCAAAAGAGAGGTGGAGAATTTTACTAGAAGACTACGAGTATATTGATCCCTCTCTCATCTTAGTCTATTCAGTGGAATTTCACTGACTTGAATTTGGCGTATTGTAGCAATATGCCTTACTGTTTTCAGAAACGTGGGCTTTCTCTGGAGCTAGAGAGAATTAAATCTTCCAGTACTCCTTTTCAGCAGCAAAAAAACAAAGTCTGCATAGTGATATTCCAGGCTGGAAACAAGTGATCACAATTTTTATTGCAACAACAAAAAAAACGGAGTTTGTTTCTTTCTAATCTAAGAATATCGTTTGTTAGCACAAGGAAAACACTCCTCTCATCTAACTTTAATCTTCATTTAGTTTCTAGTCTGTCTTGTGTTCCTCTGTAGTCACTGGATTGAGACAGACAACACTGAAATAGATCTTCAGGCATTCTGCTGTACTTCAGGGCCCATGTTTTAACCCGAAAGTTAAATTATAGATATGCAACATGCAGTTGCAGTCATTTTTATACCAAAAGTATGGAGCCAGAATACTGGTCTTATTTAATATTCCTATATTTAATTGCAAGAGAAATTGCAACTACTGAATTTTGCTAGGATCTTTAGTTAAGATTACTCATTTAACTGATACTTTAAAATGAGTCAAACACGTTGTAGTAAAAGGTATCAGGACTGGTTGAAAAAAAATGTCTTCGTTGTCTGTTCAGCTTCTATTCTCTGACATAGGCTATACGAAATGTGTCATCTTCCCTCCCACTGCACCACAACACCGGTGCTAACTGGCATACAGTGACGAGTACTTGAAGAGGGGGCTTGATGTTTGTCCGCTTGCCAAGAATGAATAGAAAACCTTCCTTGCTGGCTGAGGCACATAGTCATTAGTTGCTGCAAAAGTAATTTTTCTAGCAAATTAAACCAACAGTTCCTACAATTGAGAACGTTAGTGACTTCCAAAACCTGAGCTACTGGTGATAACTGATACAGTGTTGTAATGCTAAACATTCCTCTATATTGCAGGCCACACAACAGGAGCAGAGCTGCTTGAGGTCTGCTCCTCTAATCTCAGGCAGATGCAGGACAGCCAGGTTCTCTTTTGTCCTGTTGCAGCTGGTAGTGGGTTTTCTGGTTTGCAGTTTACCTACCTGAAAGCTTGGTCCCAACGGGTTTTGCAATATAGCACATCTGCTATTAGATGCTAGTGAGTGAACAAAGCGGTATAATAAGATGTAGAAGTGGACAGACTAACACTGTGCATCAGCTGAAATCATAATCTTTCAAGAATGTCAGTGCTTTGTATTTTCTACAAAAATTGTATCAAGTGGAAATAATAACCCTCATTCTTCTGTTGGTCTGTCCTTAATCAGTTGTAAAGAACACATGGATGTTTGCCAGAGATATAAAGGTTGAGGTGCAATTTTATAATAACACATTCCTTCCCTTATATGGTTCTTTCAATCCAAGGGCATGGGAGCAATTCACAAATAACTAGTTTAGCCTTGTAACAACCATGCTATAAATCCTGGCCCAGCCACATAGTGGTCACATTCTTAAATTTAAGTATGTAAATATTCCCATGTTCAGGAAGGACTAATTACTTCATCACAGGTTTATCATTGTACACTTAAATCCATTGCTGGACTGGGGTGAACAGAATTTTCAGTGATGTCGTGAAGCTAACTGCTGAACTTCCTCGAGCTGATTGTGTGGAAAGGACTGTGAAACAACCAATGTTATTACTTCTCTTACTATAAGTCTAATTTTTTAAAAAATTTGGTTTGTTCTTACTGATGTGTGTGGTATCTTTTTGGTGTTTAGACTGCTCGCATTCTGGGACTCCTATAAAGTCCCAGATGACAGTACTAATTTAAAATGTGGGAGTATTGATATTCAGCTTGGGTGTGGTTAGAGAGGGAAGAATCTGGTCCACAGAAAAGTTAAACCAGTGTAGAATGTAATGAAAATAAGTTATTTGTGGTAAAGAATATCCAGCTAAAGTGAATGCAAGCCCCAGCTTACTTTTTCTTCCTTCCAAACATACAAAAAATCTTCTTGTAGCACTGAAGGTAAAAATCTTCTTTAGTGCCAAGATCCTTAATCCTGAACTACAGTCAGACATCAGAACTGCAATGCTTTTCTTTCTCATGCATGAGACATGCTGCTGTACATGAAAAAAAACAGTGCTCTTTACAACTGTTTCAAAGAGAAAGAAGAGTGATTAATTTCAAGAAAAGGTTCTAATTTAATGAGAATTCTAAGCCAAATCTTGGGCAGCTTAGAAGTATGCTGTTATTTTAATATACAAAAAATTAGATTACTTTTTTTAGCTGCTGAGACATTTTGTTAAGACACCTTTCCATGGGTTCTTGCCCTTGGGTGTTAAGATTTGGAGGAGAAGCTTAAGTAAATAATAATGCTTCAGCAGCTAAATAAAAAGTATTTGAATTTTAGTTTGTTACATATTATAATATCATTTTATTTTGTCATCTTTCTTTTACCCCTTACTGCTGAAATACTGCCTTCTTTAGAAATTGTTTTGCTGAGTGTAGAGAACGTATAGTTCCCTAAGCTACCACTTCTGAGTTCAAGTATGTTTTCAAGAATTGAAGCAGAGTCTAGAATGATGGCAGCTTTTTTATCTTAATGCCTTGTGGCTCTTAAGCCTTGCTAACAACATTTAGACCTTGTATTTTCATTTGATTAACCATATTTCTTTAACTAAAGCTAATAACAGAGTGGGAGCAGGTTCTGGCAAGATGCCAGAGTCTCTTGAACAGCAATACCGGTCGTCTTCCAGATACAAATATCTATCAGCTGAAAATGCTTGACTGTGCCATGGATGCCTGTATTAACCTTGAATCCTGGGAAGAAGCTTTGTACTATGGCAGCAGGACTCTGGGACCATACAGGTAAGAGATGGAATTGATTCAACTGCTTCCAAAGATGGGGGGAGAGGGGCTGTCTCATTTAAAAGCAAAGACTGTGTTTCATCTAGATGCTACTTAGTGTTTTTATTTTTTGCTGTAGATCTTGCCTTGCTTTCCAGGCTAATGGGTGAGACAGAACTCCCATTCTGCTTCCACAGTCAGGTTGAGAGCAAATAAAATGATAATAGGAACTACAATAATTGATTATTAGCTCCTCTCTGTTTCACGTGTTCAGATGCTGCCCCATCCCTGTTCAGAATTGATTTTCTGGTTCAAACTCCATTGCCATGAAGGTATTAGTATTTTGTGCTGAGCTAGGCCAAGCTTCAGGGTCAGGTAGCTGGCTGAAATAATTTATATTCTCTGTATACTCTATACATAGTTTACAGAAAGAATAAAAAAACCTTGCAAAACACAGTTGCAACTGGAAGTGAAGAAGACCCTCATCCTTATTTTGGGAAGGGGCTGAGGTTGTGAAGCACTTGCTGGTTTCTCTTATGGTCACTACTTGCTCCTATGCTGTGTGTGCTGGGAGAGTCTGATGGCCCTTTATCAATAAGGAAGGATGTTCTACGAGATCCTACTTCATGTGGTAGGTCTTGAAATTGATTGGAGCCTCGAGCTGTAATGCAGCTTTGGTTGTCTAGTGGAGAAAGGGTAGGTGCTGTCTGATTTGGTCGATGTTCTAAAAGCTCTGACTCAAATCTTTGGGTTCTGGATATTTGCATGGTTTGTAACAAAATGTAATCCTGTGCTGAATGTCCAGAGATAATGTCATTCACGCATGAATGTTCACTCTTGGTAAGGTAGTTTTTAGAGCATGCATTTCTTCCCTGTTGGTTGTTCTACACCATGTGATGTTCCAGTACATAGTGTGATGTTCAGAAGTGTGAGGGTCATGCTAGTGCTGAACAATATGTGCTGTTGTGAATGAGAACATCTCAGATTTTACATGTCTTCCCTAATCAAACCAGGATGCCATCAGCATTGAGCATTTTGCCTGAGGAAATTTCTTCTGGCAGTGTGTTTCTGAATAAAACTCTGGGCTTTACTTGAGAAAAAACAAAGAGTTTCAGAGCTTTCAGTACAAAGTAATTAGTGAGAAATCTGCATAGGTACACCAGAGCTGTAGAGTAGCTCAGTGTTCATGATGACTCTTATTTCTCCTAGAGGAGGGCATGAGTGCCTACAAACTCTGATTTCTTCACAGTGAATTTCACATCATGCATGACTTATGTAGTGCTTAGCAGTACATTCTTCCTGCCAGCCTTCTACCGTGTGGCATGCTCCAGTTGAACAGAGTTGTCTGCCTGCTTAAATGTTCCCTTACTAAATAAAAAACCCCTCACTTGCTTTTTATTTTATAACTTGTTAACTCATCTCTTCATAACTTAAAACTGAGGATTTTTCTATGGACATGTTTGAGAGCAGAGATTACAGTGAGAACAAGTGTAATTTTACCAGATAAGGCAATAAAGCTTTCTACGTTTTGCTTACTGAAGTGTACTGTGGTTTTCAGGCTGTTTAATGCAGGAGTTTGGAGATGAAGGAAAGAGTTCAACTGTGCATTCAATTAGTATCTCTTAAGGAATTTACATGAGATATTTGACTTGTTTTGCGCCTTGAAGAGCTTGCCCTTGTTCTCTCCTCATCCAAAAGCATTATTTAAAAGAGATTTTCAGTTGTTTTTTCTTTGTACCTTCAAGTCATCACTACAAGCTTTGACACACCTGAAACAAAATCCTCAGTTTCTCATTACAACAAATTGTGCCCTAAGCAGCAGGAGAGCAAATCCTAGGAAATCTTTCAGGATGCATTGAATTTCTCCTGTTGAATCAATCTACTGCTTGGCTGCTCCTGCAGTTCCATTATAGCTATCTATTTTCCTTTCTTCAATTCTGGAAAAAGTATTCATACAGCTCTCCACAGGGAATCACTTGAGAATTCGAGGAGTCCATATAGCTAGGAAATCATTGTTACAACTTTAAAGGCTCTGGAGATTCGGTCAAAACCAATTTTAATTTCAGGTAATGTGTTTATTGTGCATTTTCCATTTCTTTAGCAGCAGGATTAATTTTCAGTGCTGTGTGACACATTGTATTGTAATATATATTTTCATTGTGATGGTTGCTGACTTTTTCAGAATCATCCACCTCATGTAACTGGCAGAGACAGAAGGTTAAACTACGTAAAACTGATTTGTCATACTGAATACCAACCTCTATGTTTTAGGTAGTGATGACAACCTATGAGGAACATTGTTTAGGACCTCTCAAATATTTTTAGAACTTCCAAAAGATGGGGGGAGATGGCAGCTGTCAAGAAGAAAAGCTGCCTTCTCCTTTTGTGCTAAACCATAACTGTCCATTATTTGTTAAAAGCTACAACGTGTACTTTCACTGAATAGCCTAAGCCAAATGTATCTACACAGCTTTTCTTGTAAATGTGACAGCAATAGTCTGTCTGTCCAAGAGCCTTAACAAAAGTTAAGACATTTGCCTAAGTGAAAGCTGCCCCACATCATCGTCAGCACTCAGCAGCTTGCAAAAATAAACTTCCTTTCAAAAATCCTTATAAGCCTTAACCACAGAATAACAGAGTATCAGGGAGAGGCGTTACATGGGTTTGTCGTGCCTCCCTTAGCACATTCACACTCTGGGCTGACTGCTGCTCGTGATGATCGGATTCAGAGATACGGAGTAAGGCAGACTTCCCTTAGGTTGCCTCTGAGGAAGGACCCCGGCATTTAGCCCTTCAGTTGCAGGGGAGGCACACATGTTCTGGGGATTGGGTTTGGGGTTTTTTTTTCCCTTGTCTCAAGTATTCAGTGCTTGCACTGCAGACAAAGCGTGGAAGTATGCGTCTGTTATAAGACTCTGCTAGATGTCCTCAGCTATTGCAACAAGAGTAATAGGATGAAAAGAAGGAGCTAAGTGACACCACCGGCCTACTGGATTCTGGAAGCAGAGGGGCTGGGTAAAGCCATGTCACCTCTCTGGGCTCCTGAGGCGTCAGGTCTGGTGAGATTCTGGCACGGAGAGGACAAACATGTTTGTCTGTTTTTGTTCTGCACTGCTTATAATCTCCTGCTTGAATGTAAAGCTAAGTATAAGTCCCACTGAGTGTCAGATGGGCTGTTTTAATTAACAACCGTCCATCTCCAGTGCTGCGATGTTAGGAGTTACTGGAGGGCTCCAACATTAGCGAGAGGAAATTCCTTCTTTTCATCCTGCACAAAAGTGTTGTGCAGAAGTGCTGTGGTGTTTCTTCCCCCGGCAGCTTGGTGCATCCTTCCTCCTCCGTCCTCCCTCCGCTGAGTCAGCACCGATACAGGGCTTGTGCTGATGTGACTGTTCTGCTTCTGGAGTGGGAGGGAGCTGGGTAGGTGTGAGCATCCCATTTTTGTCTTAGACATGCATCGTTTGTCTGCTCTTCTCACTCCTATTCTCTATCCCTTCCAGTGATGTTTTGCAGTACCCCCTTACTTCATGTCTCCTCAGTGACTGAGGTCTTTTAGGGAACAGGAAAAACAATCCCAGTCAACAGAATTTTGAATTGTTTTGCAATGGGCTGGGTTTAAGAACCATGGCTGGGATGTGCTTCTTATTGAGTATTTTCTGAGAACATGGTTGAATTTGCATTATGTGAATGAAATGTCAGCCAGGAAATTTTGATTTAGAATTCTGATTCAATAGATATGATGGACTGTAGCTTCCACGTATGTGAACTTCAATCAAAAGGCAGATTAAAAATTGATGGTTGCTATAGTATCTTTTCCATGAGTCACGATCTTGTAGAAAAGTCAAAAATAGCTGTAGAACCTGATATTCCTGGAGGAGACTCTGAACCTATTTTCTGTTCTTCAAATATGCTCTTCTATAAAAAGTCTGATTTTCTTTTGGTCTGATTTTCCCCCCTTTTCAAATGTGTTTTACAAAAAAATCCTTCTCTTACAGGTATGTGTCTTGTAATACACACATGGTGTATGTAATGACTGGAAATAAATTAAAGTTTTTCATCTTTACCTATGGCTCTTTACTGAGTTCATCAGACTCCTGAGTACTGGCTAGTTCTGAGGCACTTGACTTGACTTTACAGTTGCCTTGAAAGAGTACCTGCGCAGCTCAACAGAAGTGACCTGCAGTGACAGACAGGACCACTGGGGGCTGCTGGTGCTTAAGGGTTACAGTCTGGATTCCGCGCCCCTCGGCACCCGGGTTGTGGCAGGTCCCCTGGGGACTTGTGCGTGGCTGGCAGATTTCTGAACCTACAGATAGTAGTAATTCAGTGACCAAAGTTCAGTGTCTTAACCATAAAACATCAGCAGTAAACATAAATCTTACCTCTGGGATCATCTGAGAGGGAGACAAAAATGTGAAGGTGGAGAAAACGATTCAAAGAAAGAATGAAACAAAGAACAGAAAGAATAAAATCGATCTTGCTCACTTTTTTGGGGCTTTACAACATGGCCACGGGCATTCATCTCTAATGTTTAGAGCAAAATGTGTGGAAAGAAGAGGAAAAAAATTCTTATCAAAGAACTGTAAGAGATGAAAAAAAAATACGGCTCATGGGAAAATCTGAATAACTAGGGTGCCCTTTCTCTACATTGTCTAAACAAGAAGGTATGAATTAAGATTTAGGAACTGATATTTGGTTCATGAATGGTTCCACTGATTTATCATCTAGCAATAAGTAACATAGTAGAACCAAGTAAATACCAGAGCTTTGTGAAAGGAAAGAACGAGGTACGTTTTTTAAAAGTGTAGGTTATGCCTGTGCAAATGTGTGAGTCTGGGGCCATCACAGCTCATTGGAACCTCAGGGAGCTGCTGCTAGAAACTGAGTGAAGAGCACTAAGCAGCCTTGGTGCACCTTCAACGTAAGGAAATCAACAGAGGGACGAGAGCTTGATAGTGACAAACTGCCAAAGCAGGTAGAAACAGTGGACGGTGCCAAGATCACCTTTCCACTTTCCTCCC